AGGGCTGGGCAGGGCTGGGCAGGGATGGGCAGGGATGGGAAGGGTCACTTACGGTAGCAGCGCCGCCCGTCCGCGCCCAGCTCGAAGCCGGGGCTGCAGGCACAGCTGAAGGAGCCCGGGGTGTTCACACAGCGATGGGCACACCTGGCCCTGCCCTCGGCACACTCATCCACGTCTGCAAGCACAGAGAAAACTCCTTCAGCTGGATGCTGAAATGAAAAATAATGCTGGTCCACGTGGACGTGGCTGCATTTCCAAGTGTCTGCTGGAAGGATTATCCTACACAGGACAGCACCCGATGAGCCCAGGAACATTGTACTCACAGTATTCTCCAGAACAATCTTTTTCTGAGCACCATTGACCTTGACCTTCTCAGTGTGAACATTTACAGTATCAAACACTGTATTTGCAGTATCAGCCAAAGCTACTTATTTATTATTCCTGTAAAAAGAGCCACGGCAAAAGAAGACCTCGTGTGAAGAACTCGGAAGAAACTTCCAAAACTCTGAAATTATCACCATGCCATCCAAGCCATTATAGTTAAATTAATGGAACAGGAAACAGCTGATTATTTTCTGAATGTCGGATGATCTGGATGAAGTGGTGGTTGGGTTTCAGCAGGGACCATGGAGACAGATCAGCCCTGTCCCTGCAGCTGCTTTACAGCAGTGCAGTGGGGAGGCACCTGCTGCAACCACAGCAGCCCCACCAGCCCTGTGAGGAAAGGAAAAGCTGCAGAGCCTCAGGTGGGGAGGCTGCTCTTCCCCCAGGCTGCTCCTCAGCTTCACACTTGCTGTATTCTGGAGTTAAATGTCCCCAGAGGTGCCCATCTTCCTAAAATCTCAGCAGAACATAAAAGTACTTTTAAGGAGTTAGTTAAAACTTTTAATTAGTTTAAAAACAAACAAACAAACCCACAAAAATTTACACTAAATACAGCTGCACAGAACACCGACCTCTATGCAAAGACTGGTATCACACATGGCAAACTCCTGATGCATCTCCTGTCCCTTCCCATTCTGACATCTTTCTGGCAAAATGCACATTATTTATTGCACCGATGCTGGGTCAGTGTCTGGAAAATGGCAGGGAGCAATCTGACGTGCAGCTCTTCACCTTTCATCCCAGCAAACCACACTTTCTAACAGTTTTGCCCCTCCACACGTGCTGTGCCCAGTGCTGAGCTCGTGGCCCCTGCACTTGAGCACAAGGAGCTTGATGGATGCAATCAGGCTCCTTGCAAAGAGAGGCCCCAGGCACTGCAAACACCACACACTGGCTCATGAAAATTTCAGGACAAATGACAGCTTCTCTGAAGCAGCCATGGGAGCAGCTGCTGCTTAGAATAAAATGGGTTATTCCTCCTTTTTCTCTAATTGTCGTTTTGTGAGTACGCTGTGCTGGCCAAAGTTGTAAATACTCTTTTCTCTTCTTCTTTTTAAATAGAAAAATAAGAAGTTGAACCACAGCCACCATCCTGCACAGGTCTCTTCCTGTCCTACAGCTAATAGCTGAAGTACGACACTTCAGCTGCCCTCTCTCTCCTCCCAGCTCGGTTTCCAGAGAGTCAAACAGCTTGAATTTTGCAAAAGGCATTGAGTAACTTCTAGGAGAAAAAAACAATAATTGTATATCCATGTTAAGACATGCTGCTTAATGATTCAAAAGATTGTCGCCATGAGGTTGGGGAGAAAATTTGTTCCAATATATAACACTGCAAGTTAACTCAGTGACTCAGTTTATACATAAATCAACAGAAATGTCAATGTGCATCTGAGATAAAACAAACAACAGGCTGACCCTACTGCTAAACCCACTGTTGTTTCCATCCACTCATTATCAGTTCATTACTTGAAAACAGTTTTTATTTTCAGCAATTACTCATGAGTAAAAGAATCACTATGATGTGACACTCTACTCACAGAAGGGCTTACAGGCAACTGAGTAAAATACTCAGGGTAGGAAGTAAATATTTTGAAAGGCACCCAGCACCCTTTATATGAGACAATAATTGGCAAGATTTTGGCCAAGTTTTCAAAAGAGGAGTGTAAAATTAGTGCATATATATACATATACACACACAACCTGATCCTGACTTGACTTAAAAATCTGTGCACCATGAAGTCCACAAATGCTTTTTATTTCAGAAAATTGCTAAACTACCTTCCAAGAGTTTCACTGAAAGGGAGAAGAAGGTATTTTGATCCCTAGCTCCCCCAAACTTCAGGTCAGAAATGCTACAGATTCTTTTGACAGCTCCAGACTAAACACAGGCCTTTAGAATTCAACTTTTTAAGCTCCTCTCTTTGGAAATCTTACACATCATGATTTCTTCCTTCACAGTAGTTTCTCCATTAATATGGAGACAGTTCTCCAGCTAAAAAGCCCTTTGAATTCTAAATAGGTTTTCAGTGACCTGGTTCAGAGTTTTACTTGAACCAGTTTTCCAGGAGCTGTATCTGGGACATTATTTTAAAGAGACCCTACAAGAATAACACCAGAGTATTTGCAAATCCACTTGCTAGAAATCATGACTTAAGAGATGACACAGAAATCTTCATCACTAAAAAAAAACCTTCAAGACTATGGGCTGATGTGAACATCACACAGAGGAAGGCTGTTTCAAAATGCACACATATATTTGTCTAATATATTCCTTTCCACTCACAGCTCAGTAAGCCAGAGCACTGATTAATAACATTCTTCACAATAAAGAGTGCAGAGTTTCTTACCTAAACAGGACTTTTTGTCTGCAGCAAGAGAATGCCCTGGATGACACCCGCATTTTGCAATTCCTCTCTCATTCTGACAGATTTGTGAACATCCTCCATTCCCACTTGTGCAGGGGTCTATCACTGAAACCAATTAGAGCACACTGTCAACTGAAAGGTCACTTTTTGCCTGAAAATGGTCTTACCTGCCATTGTTGCAGCTAATGACGAAGTAGCTGTAAGAGATTAGACTGGGAAAAAAATGTGAAAGCATCTGGTGAGTAAAGCTGCTGTTTTTCTGGATGGTTTTTGTTGCTGGACAACATTTTTCACAGAGCAGCAACAAGGCTTTAAACAGCAGGAAACCGAGCTTGTATTACATTGGAAGTAGGACAAAAAAGTACATTTTATTGTTATTTTGCTGTATCTGAACAGATTTCAAGAGTTCTCTAAACAACAGCAATTAGCACTCCAGTATGTGTGAATCCATAAACACACACAATGATGGAGTTCACCACAAAACAATGAATATTTAAAAGGCTTGAGAGGAAATAAACACTGAAGAGCCCCCAAAGACATCTTTCAGTCTATAAACATATGCCATTCATGTTGTACATCAAGGCTTTTTCCTCTTCTGGAACAATAACATACCTTTTCAAGGATAAGCTGCCCTAAGTGGCAAGTACTTAGGAAAACTTTTATGAAGTGCCTACAGAAGCCTCCATCTCAAAGATTTCACTGTGTTGTATGGGTTTATTTCTGGAACATGTACCTGCTGGAAGGACACTGCCCAAATAGAGACTTGGCACACCCCAAAACAGACCCACCACGACCGTTCAGACAGGTCTGACTTGGGTTAAGATCTGACATTCTGCACCAGGCTGAGGCTTTGTTTTGGAGCATTCATTACACCAAAATTCTGATGAATAACATACACAGGTAAACACTGAGAACACCTTGAAAATGTGTCCTCTACAGTTCTGCTTAGCTTCAAATAAAATGTCTAAAAAGCTATACTTGTTTCCCTACAATTCCAGCTCTGATTCAGTTTTAGCATTTCACTAATTACTGCCTGATTTGAGACAGATGACCAATATTCCTCACTTGCCCTGCTCTGTACAAGCCAGCTTCTCTCAGAGCCCCAGAGGAAAGCCACCATCAGTTCAACAACACTGGAGTCAGGGTTTGAGGAACCCTGGGAAGGGCTGAAGGAGATTTGCTCTTCCACTGGCTATGCAAGAGAAGGGAACAGGAGAGAAAAACCTCCACTTCATGTGGATTTAAATATGGGGCAAGGCTTTTTTTGGTCAGTTTTCTGTGCAGCCAAGTGGCATTTTGTGCCACCATCTAGTAAAGGAGGAAGCAGCCACAGAAGATCCTCAAACTGCCTGATGTCACCTCCTGCCATCCACACAACACACAAACCGTTCCAGTCTGCAGGGCCGAGTTCGACTTGACAGTCTTAAAAAAAAAATAATAAAAAAAAATAGAATATAAGCACGGTTAGGGATGTAGAACTGAAATTGGACTTCTGACACGATAGGTTGCAAATAGGTTTCCAAGGAACAGCAGCACCTCATCGTGCATGACACTTCCAAGGCTGACAACTTGGCTCTGCAGCTCGACAATTTGCGGTCTACAAAGGATTTAGCTCCAAGCAAGAACTCACTCCTTGCTGATATGAAATATTGAGTTATTTGCCCATTCCTTTTCTATTTGGGTAAATTAAATGAAATCACTATCAAACAGCATCTGTTAAACCTGCATATTATGAAGGTTTTCAGAGCAGCTAAAGCTTTAACTTGAGAATGATTACAGCATGGAGTAAAGCTTGTAATGCTCTGTGACATGACAACAGGCAAACAACAAATTACATGGTAGATGTTAGTAAAACATAGTAATTCAAATAAAGGTAGCAGCCTTGGAAGTCCTTGACTGAGGTAAGTTTGTAAAGGAAAGATGTTCAGGACATAAGGCAATCAGCGACTGACTTGCTTTCCAGCGATATGTACGTTCCTGTTAGCAGCAGGTTTCAGGAAAAGCCAAAAATAACTCATTAGTGTTCTTTTTTCACACATTTGCCTCTTACTGGTTCATTTAATAACTTTACTAGATAACAGACTCCATCCTGCAAAGCTCTACTCCAAGCTGTTAAAGACTATGGTGAAAAATTTACTGGCATGGTTTCATTTCCCAGGTGCCTCAGGGCACAGAATCCCAGAATGGTTTGGGTTGGAAATGACCTTAAAGCTCATCCAGCCCCATTCCCTGCCATGGGCAGGGGCTCCTTTCACTGTGCCAGCTTGCTCCAAACCCCATCCAGCCTGGCCTTGGACACTTCCAGGGATGGGGCAGACCTTCCAATCCTTCACTTCAAGGCTGCAAACAACAGGGTCTCCAGTCCTATCTGCCACAACCTCTAGAGCACCTAAAGAAAAGAGGTTTGAGCCTTATCAAATTAATTTTCTTGTTCACAGCAACCATGACTTCACACTGGAGAAAATATGAAGTGGTAAAGAGCAAAACTGCCAGGCTGGAGTGTTTCTCTAAGGCTCTGCAGGGCTGTGGGTGCAGCATTAATTCACAAGGAGTTCACAGGGATGAATCCACACCTGCACAGCACCCACACCTGCTGTGGCACACACTCTCATGACACTGTGGTTTCTCCATCCAAACCATGACTCCAGCAGCCAAGCTTTGGTTGGAAAATAATAAAACCAGCCAGACTCACCTCCTTCCACCTCTTCTACTCAAAATATCTCTGAACTGACAACCCAAATGCATCCATGACCACTTCACTCTCATTTGTTCCTGTAAAAATCTCATCCATGGGCTTACCTAGCACTTTTCTCTCCCAGGCATTCATTCACTCAGGTATTTATGGGAGGGAAAGCATCCTACTCAATCCTCATTTTGCAAGCTGAGCTCTGCTTACAAGGCAGATCCTCCTTCCCCCAGGCACAACTGCTCTCCTGGGGAGGGCTGCACTTATTTAATTTGGTTCTAACACCCTGGGGTGAGCAGGCACCCAGGGAATGCTCACCTGCCCCTCTCCAGAGATTAATAACTACAGGCTGGTGACAAACCACTGCTTTTGGTGAGTGGCTAACTCTCTTCAGCCCCACCATGTGAGGAGGTGAACAGCAAAAACCTCCCCTTTTAGGGGGTCCCAGCTGAAAGACAGCATGGAAGTGGTCCATGGGAGCTCCAGGAGAACTCCCACCCCACTGGGCATCACTCAGACCCCTCTGACCCACCCACCTCAAAGTCCCATGCAGGCTCTGCACAGCCAGCTGGCCAAACACATCTCGAGATGTTTGCAAAAGGGATGGGGAACAGCAGAATAATCTCTCTGACATCCCCTTCTCCCCAAACCTCCCATTTTTTGGCTCTTTCTGATATTCTCAGGGAAAAAACCTGAGAGACAGAGAGGCCAGGAGGCTGTGGGTACTCCCTGAGTGCAGTCCCCACTGAGGGCAGCATCTGGGGAGGCCCAAAAACGAAGGGGAAGGGTTCTCTGCAGCCAGCAGGAGCTGGGAGCCATCTGAACAGCAGGATTTACTGACACTTCATCCACAGCGTATCAAATCTCCAAGCAGAAGAGAAGCCATATGGAAATGGTTTTGTGACAGGAATTTCAGCTCAATAAATCCATAAATTTGGCCTTATCTTTCTCTGGCATGTTTGAGGGGGTGTGTGTGTGCTTGTGTTGGGGAATGGAGGGGGGAGGGTTGCCTTCAAAACTGATGAATATGTTAAGATATACAGGAAAAGAAAAGCAACAATCAAACCCAAAGGTAGCATTGCTGTTCTGCTTGAGAGAGGGCTTAGAAACCTGAAGGGGAGGATGAATGAATCAGCCCGTGATAAGCCAAAAGGAGATAAAGAGAAGACTTTTTGTAGAATAAAACATGTAATGCAGGCCAACTCTATTTACAACTTGATGATCAATAAAATGTTAGAATTAAATCACGATGAAGTTCCTAACCTATGTCATCACCATCATTGTGCAAGGAAAAGCCAGAGATCTAGGAGGCCAAAATCTTACTCAAAGTTGTGATTCAAAGTGAACTTCACACCTCAAACACGTGTTATTTTAAAATCCTGTCAATAAGCAATTCCTAAAGCTGCTTTTGGCCCGCAGGGGGAAATAGCAATGAACACAATGACCCCAAAACACCATCCTGGGGTCTTTTAAATTGCCTTTACTGCATGTCTTCAGGCAGGTAGCACAGGACTCACCTTCACAGGATTTGGCATCTGTCTTCAGCTGGTAGCCTGGCTGGCACTGGCACTTGTAGTGGTCCTCACTGAGCTGCACACAGTCCTGCTCACAGCCCCCGTTGTTAATGCTGCAGGAATTGACAGCTGGAGCCAAGGAAGCAGCAAGGGAATGCACGTCAGCAACCTGGGAGAGCTTATTGCCTATTTTAAATACATAAACGAAAGCAAAAGCAGGCAAACCCGGCTGGACAGCTTTCAGAAATGCACCTGTCCCCTCCCCTGTGCTCACGGAGCCTGGCTGACAGTGTCCCACACCACTGAAATCCTGATTCCAGGGAGAAGCAGGTGAGATCTAAGGGCTGTAATGCTGACTGAAGCACAGCACCCTTTGATCTGACAGCACCAAAGCACTGCCAATCCACCGAGGCAAGGAGGGGAAAAAAGAACAGCCCTGCTGGCACTTGCCCATTGATTATCTTTTTCTCTCCTTGCTTTCATTGATTAAAAATAGTAATTGTCTTTCAGGCTGATTTCCTCAGCCTCTTAAATAAAGAAAAAAATTCAAATAACAGAAGCCACAAGCTATGCAGAACAGAGGGTCCTCTGTACACCTTTAAAGATGCTGCTTCTTTCACCCAAGCAAATTAATATTCTTTTTTGTTCAACATATATCCCCGGCCTCTGGAGAAACATTTCTCCTCCTGACAAAACATGTCAACACACACCCACACCTATTCACACGCTGCATGTAAAAATAAGAGTGATGGTTTGATCCTGCTATTGTGCTGTGCTGAGGGAAGTGTGTGTGCGTGGCTGCAGCGAGATGGATTTCCACAGCACCATGTAGCATGGAGAGATTTAAATGAGATATTAGGAAGAAATTCCTGACTCTGAGGGTGGGCAGGCCCTGGCACAGGTTGCCCAGAGAAGCTGTGGCTGCCCCATCCCTACAAGTGTCCAAAGTTGGATGGGGTTTGGAACAACCTGGGGTAGTGGAAGGTTAAGGGTGTTTTAAGGTCCCTTCCAACCCAATGAAGCCAGGAAACAGCTTTGATATTTATTTTTTTCACATTCATTTTAGCAATATTCATATTTCTTCATTTATCTGTAACAGACATTAGTAAATGTTAGCTGCAAAACCCGCTGCAGGATTCCTTTCACCCCATGCCACCAATTAGCAAACACAGAGTTTGTGCAGTCAAGTATGTGTTAAAAAGGTGAAAAGAAAAGCAAATTTCTACATTCTCCTGGCTGCACACACAGCAGGAGGCAGGAGGCACCTCAGTGCCCAGAAACCTGACCCTGGTTTCTGATGTGCACCTGTGCCCAGAGCCCTCTGCCCTCCACACACAGAACCTGAGCAGCTCCTGTCTGCACAGGAGACAGCACACCCACACACCCTGAGCTCCCAGCTCCCTGCACATTCCTAGCCAAAGACCTGTTTTTCAGCAAGAATATTCAAATAAGATGAAAACATTTCAGAAGACGAAAAACATCTTAAATCCAAGTGACAGCATATACATGTGGGCTTTTAAAAGTGCCATTTTCTCCCTCTGTTTCTGGGCACAAGCCAGTTTGGATGCAAGGGGAGATGAGCAGCAGCCTGTCACCATGAGGGTTTGGGAAGATCTGAAGGTGGGAGGGGACAGGTGTGAAATCCTGTGCTGGAGGGACCCTGCATCCCAAATTTGGTGTGGCTGTGCCCAGAGGTTGCTCTGGAGCAGCCAGGGCAGGTTTGTCCCAGCTGCTGCCAAGGCACCAGGCTGGATCCATGAGAGGAGGTGCCAGACTGAAGGAGAAGAGCCTCCAGGGACAGGACAGGATTGTGCTGGTGGCTGCCAGGTGCCAGCAGCACGTCTGAGCAGGGAGAGACTTGGCACCTCATGGGTCTGACTCCAGCTGGCACAAAGGGCCTGTGGCTGCAGGGCTGAGCACCTCCACAGGCAGAAATATGGCCTGACATTCCCTTTGTAAGATTTACTCCTGGGATTTGGTAGAAACCCAGCCCTGATGTGGATTCCAGACAGACTGGGGATGATGCCAAGAGAGGGAGGGGGCATCCAGGAAGGGGGAAAGAGGTGGGAGACACCAGGTGAGAAACACAAGGATCAGAGAATCACAGAATGGTTTGGGTTCATCTTCAAGACCATCTCATTCCAGCCCCTGCCATGGGCAGGGACACCTTTCACCATCCCAGGCTGCTCCAAGCCCTGTCCAGCCTGGCCTTGGACACTTCCAGGGATCCAGGGACAGCCACAGCTGCTCTGGGCACCTGTGCCAGGGCTCAGCACCCTCACAGAGAACAGTTCCTTCCCCATATCCCATCTAACCCGGCCCTCTGTCAATTCAAAGCCTTTCTGCCTTGTCCTGTCACAAGTAAAAACTCCCTCTCCAGCTGTCTTGTAGGCCCCCAATCTCGTAACAGTTAAGAAATACACATTTCTCAACCCTTTTTTTTATAATAAAGGTGGTAATTTCACCAAGAGCTGGGTCTGAAGCCATAGTTAAGATACATGCATAGCAACCATGGGGTTAGACAATACAATCTCCTCCAACCTATATTTTCCATCACCTTAAATCCAACCTTGGCAGTGACCAGAAATGTAACTTCAGACATACAGGGCTTATATTTATGTTGGGAAACACAGATTATAGAGTTGTAGAGATATTTTCTTTGTTACTTTCTCAATATATAAGAGCCTTAGTGTGCTAAAATCTCCATAAAAACCTGCATCTCTACAGCTTCTCCACATAAAGCAGACATCAAAGGTAACAGCTGGCACCAGAGATGAATCAGGGTCTAATGGCTGTGCCCTGTTTTCTCTCCTAGGAGTTCAAACAGGAATAAATTCCACTGAAGTCAATGAATCCACAACAGTCCAAACCCACAGCCTGATACTACAATAAACATGTTCTTTCTGAGTTTCAGCTTTTCAGATACCAGCTGGTTAAACTCCAGTGTAGTCAAATTCATCGCATTAACATAACCAAGGCATTACAAACAAAACAAACAAAAAAGTTGGACAGCGTTGCAGTGAGTATTTGGTCTGGCACGTGTATTTATAAATTAATTCAATGCTGAGCAAAATCTGTAGGACCAAAAAGCTGAAGGAAGAAAAGGAGCATGAAAGGAGATGGGATTTTATCATGGCACAAAGTACTGGATAACATCAAAGGATTCAGGAATTAAGTAGTTTATTTTCACACACTGGTCATCACTGAGCAAGGCAGCCCACTCTGGAGATTTTTGGGTCTGAGCAGAGAATGGGTAGAGTGCAGAAGTTTCCAATGAGAGCAGGAAGAATGACAAAAGCAGATCTCCTCTCTCCAGTATTTTAAGGCTCACAGTGGCAGAGGAGGGATGGACCACCAACTAGTCAGGATCCCAAACAAAATACCCTGTGAAGAGGTGGCAGGAGTAGCAGATTTACTGGAAAACTTGTGACAAAAGTTCAGTAATACCCCATGAATCACATGAGGAAGTATCTTATCCCAGGTTTTTGAGTCCTCAGATGTAGGCTGAATATCTTCTAAGATGATAGATCCACTTCCTTATGTATGGGAGATTTCCTAGACATCCAGGCTGCAAAATCTGCTTCCCCTCAAATGATTATGGCACTTTTGTTCCCACAAACACAGGATTGCCAAAAAAGAAAAGGAGGACGTGGAAAGAATGAACCTAACAGCAATCTGGGCCGGGCTCCTCTGAAAAGCCTGTCTAGAGGGACTCTTGTTTCTTATTTCTGCAGCTGAGATAATCACCTTCCATAAACAGCTCAGTGCCAGAATATGGTCCCTTTTCATTCTCAGCATGCAGGAGAGATCCTCACATATTCTGAAGCATCCATGGAAGAAATACCACTGCTAATCCAAGCCTGTTTGAAATGCTGGGTGTTCTGCTTAGCTGCACCAGGTCAAAGGAGAGGGGCATTGCTGGTTTGCTTCTCAGCAGATGAGTGATGAAAGCTGGAGGTACAACCTGGTGCTGCACAAGGGGCAAACTCTCCATCTCCAACAAGCAGCTACTGCCCAAATCCTGATCCTAGGCACCCCTGATTTATATGAAATGCTTCTCCCTGCCCTCATCAATTAGTAACTGTCTTGTTCTCCAGTGCATGAGAGCTTATTATACCCATTTGTTTTGGTGTCTTGTCTAAACAGCTGGAACAGGACTCAATATCCTCCCTCAGTATCGTGTACATCCATTATCATGATAGCAGAGCTCTCTGAAACTCCTGCCTCCCATCCTAGGACTTCTTTTTGTTTCTCCTTGATAACTTCTGAGATACTGCAAACAAAGCTGTACTGTATGAAGTATTTTGAACAACTTCTTGAGAATATTTACATTTATGAAACGAAAACTTGTTCTCTGGTGTTGTTCACAGCTCGGAAGAAGCTAAACTGAGCTTTCCAATTATCTGAGGCAAGAGAAATTCTAATTATTTTGTGTCCACAGAAAACTTTACATATTACACAAGTAAATTCATTTAATTGCCATTAACATCTACTTTTTGCCTTTATCACACAGTTCTCTTTCTCTTTTTCCCCCCAAAGTGCCTTTAGTCCCCTTTTTCTATAAAAATCCCTCTTCACTACAAATGAGACTATTCAGAGGGAGTAATGCAGCTCAAACAACACATCTTTCACTTCTGGGTCTTCCCTGGTCAGATCTGATCTGAGCAAAATTAATTTATTTTTTAATTCATAGAAAACCACAATTGCTTCTAGTTAACTATGAACCACTCTGCTTTTATATTATTTTTTTTCCCTCACACACTATAGTGTTTCCTTATCCAGTCCTTCACCAACTAAGATAATCAAGAAAAGACTGAGACTTCATCACATTGTTAATTGCGGTTAATTACCAAAACACTGAAAGTCTCTGTAGGTGATAAACCCAAAAAACCTGAAAGGTTAAGTTTTAAAATAAAAAAAATCCATTATTCCCACAGCTTGAGCAGTGGTACCTCCTGTGTCCTGGCTGCATCAGAGAATGTAGTGCTGTGACAATACCAGGAATGACTGATGACATCTCTGGCTGAAGTTAAGCACAACCAAGGGACTTTGTGCAGGAACTGAGACAATGCCCAAACTGTGAATGAACTTCCTCTGCAGATGTGGTCTGACTGCACTTGACTGTTCTTCCCATATTACCTCAAATCAGGTTTAAAAATTTAAACAAAAGGTGCCCTTTTCTTCTTCCCAGATGATAGAACATTTTAATCCTTTCTGCAGAATTCAAAAATTTGACTTTTGTACTGATTTAAACGCAACACAAGAACTGTGTATTTCATATTATTGTTTTTAACAGCACAAAGAATCAACTCTGGTATGCCTTGTTTCAGGCTTTAGAGTCCAACCTAAGAAACACAGGGTTTATTTCTAACGGCAGAGCTGCTAATCCCCTCCACACAAACAGGCAGTGTGTCATGGTTGAGCTCCGTGGTGCTCTCACTGACATGAGCACACCCTGTAAATCACGATCACTTACCCTGGAAACAACCTCTGACATCACCAAGTCCCAGGGCAGCAGCGCTGGGGATGTGCCACAAAGAAAAAGCACTCAGCATGAAAAAAAAATGTCATTTGAAACAAAGACCCCCTAAACTCTTTAATGCCTCCTGCAAAAGAATTTTCATGAGACAGCAACAACAACAACAACAAAAATAAACATAAAAAAAAAAAAAAAAAAAAAAAAAAAAAAAAAAAAAAAATTGAACCAGAATGGGTAATGGATTGGAAGATGGAAGAGATTGGATTTCAGACTGGAAGAGTCCAGAAGCCTTTGCAGTTAGAGCAAACCCCTGCTGGAGGGTGTGAGGGGTTCCTTACCGAGGCAGGTGCGCCCGTCGGCGTGGAGCCGAAATCCCGGCTGGCACTGGCACTGGAAGGAGCCCGGGGTGTTGGCACAGCCCTGCTGGCAGCCTCCGTTCAGCACCTCACACTCATCCACGTCTGCAGAAGGAAGGGACACGGTGAGGAAGGATTGCACACACAGACCCAGGTTCTCCTGCAGGGCTCATCCAGAACGCAGCCAGGGCGCTCGCGATGGGTTGTTGTTCGCTGCTTCGTTTTGGCAGCAAAGAAAAGTGGGATTTGATGGTATTTTTCCAAGTTCCTGCAGGCACTGCTTCTGTAGTCTGTGCTTCTGAAGTCCTTGTTAATTAGAGTGATTTGTGACATGGCTCCTTTATTCAGGCCAAGAGAAAAATATAGGGGAAGAATTAGGGTTAGATAACACATCTGAGCCTGTAGGAACTGCTGGTCAGACCTGTGGATTTTATAAAAACTTGCTCTACAAAGATTTCCTTTTGCATCAAGCCTTGAATCCTATTTGTTCTTGGGGGTACAAGCAGGTACAGCTGACATGACTGGCAAACAGACACATTCTCCATCACCATTACATTTTCAACCATGGAAAGCACAGAGAGCTTAAAGAGAAAGTGTTAGAAGAGAATTTGTGCTGCATTTTCTGTGCCTTTTGCCATACAAGCCTAGAAGCACAGAATGGTTTGGGCTGGATGGGACCCTAAAGCTCCTCTCATTCCAACCCCCTGGGCATGTGCAGGGACAACTTCCACTAGACCAGGTTGCTCCAAGCTTCATCCAGCCTGGCCCTGGGCACTTCAGGCACTTCCCAGAAAAAGGATGTGAGCTCCTGCTGATGATACCTTTTCCAAAGCTAAGCCAGCATCGTTCCATATTTCAGGTAAATTTTGGAGGATTACATTCGGTCAAATGAAGAGAGAAACAAGCATTAAACCAGCTTGAGAACACTGCTGTAAAGCTCCAGCTGAAAATGATGGACAATGATGGACAAAGATCAAGAAGAATTTAAATAAACAGGTGAAGGTCTAAGACAGAATCATAAAACTGAATTTCCAGAAGTACCACATAAGCAGTTTTTGCACCTCTTCAGCAACACTGGGCTACTGTAAATAGCATTTGATTGACATGTTGACACCATTACCGTAAAAATCAACACAGGGGTCATTGGAAATAAGGGTCAATTAGTCCATTCCCTGAAAAAATATTCACCTAGCAGATACTTGCCTAGATTTTTTCTGTCCTTTCCCTAGCAGACCCCAGGGACAGCAACTCCACCTCCCACCATCTCCCCCAGGGGCGATGCTTGTCCCAAATTATCCAAATGCCAAAGATATTTTCTTCCTCAAGTCAAGCCTCCCTCCTGCAACAGACATCTCTAAAGAACCCCCCTTTCAACACTGAAGCCTCCTGCAGATTTAATTGCTCTTTAGATCATGCTCTGAAATTATCTAATGGCAGGCAAGTCCACAATTGCTCCTGTGGGGGAAGCAAGTCCACAGTGAAGGAATTTTCCCCCCACATTGCACTTGAGGAACAAGGGGTCTGGCTTTCATATCTTTGCTGTGGTTGTATCTGTTTTGCATTTAACTTTAATGGTTTACTTTTTTTTATTCATGCTTTTATGTTTATTCCATTTTAGAAAATCTAATCAAAATCAACTGAAAGAGGAAGTTTTAAAGAAGACTTGGAAATGCACAACATCCCGCTCCTGAGGAAATGTATTTGTGAAGTTAAATTTTAATACTTCACATGTGAATTTCCCTCACCTAAAATGAAGTCCTGGTGTTGACTGGTGTTTAAATTCAGATCATTTGTTAAACATGCACCACTTTTTGATCCTTCTGCTGTATTTGTTGTTTTATTAGACTGTATACTACATACATGTCCTACTGCCTGGAGACATCTGGAATATGCTTCTTTTTTAAACAGAAATTTTGCCTTTTAAAATGCAAACAGTAAACAGGACATGTTATTCACCTTGTTGAATTCCATGCTGCTAAGAACCAGACTGCTGAAAAATGCCAGGATGAAATCAAACCCAGGGAACCCTTTCTATGGAGTGTCAGAGAAATAAAATAAGCAGAAAGACTCAGAAAAAATAGAACATGGAAGCAGCTGAACCACATAGTGCACCACGTTCTAGTATTTATACCTCAATAAACTCAAACATTGGGAGCTTCAATATTTTAATTTTATAGGCTACGATCAGCTGGAGAATTTCTCTCATATACCAAACGCAGTTTTAAGTTTGGATATTGGCACTTACAAAGGAGAAAAAAATAGTCCAGCTAATAAAAACGAGCTGGGAGTTAGTGATATTTGTTAGCTTCCATTTGGAGATTTAAAGGAGTGACTTGGTTTATGGGGGAGCTCTGCACCAGCAGCAGCTCTTCCCTCAGCAGCATTTCCCTCGTGCTGGCACGTCCCAGAGGGCAATAAAGCAGTGACTGTGCTGAAAGGCAACACAATTCAAGGCAAAATAAAAGATCCTAAACCACTTGTGCACATGAGCTAAACCCAGCCCCAGCCTGAGCCTCCCTGCAGCAAGCAAAGGCGAGACCCAGGAGCTGAAAATGCAGCTCCACGACGCCACATCCACAGCAAATCTGATGACAGATGATCCCTTCCAGCCCCAGACTTCCTCTGCAAGATCAATATTTTAAGGATTATATGCTGAAAGATTCCTTCACATCCGACAGATAAAATCAAGAGAAATGCAAGGCGCAGTCGCCTTTCCACGTCTCCTCCATCTCAAGGCCAGGAAACAGCTTCGCCCCCAGTTACAGCAAAAAAATTCCCTAATTATTTTGTCTGGGGAGCAGTCTGCAAAGCAGACACTGATCTAAATGCCTGAACTGCGTTTGGAAGTTTTAAAAGCCTAAACTATTTGGACTTTCACATTTAAATTGCTGTACTAGTAAAGGACACACATAGCAGCAAAGCAACAACTTCTGCTGTCGTAGGTACACAAGTGGTGATTTTTTTTTTTCCCACTTGGGAATAGCTATAGAAAGAGGAAATTATTCTAGAATAACAGATGTATAAAAAAATATTTAAAAGCATTCTTGAAATATAAAGCCCTTCCACAGCAATTCTAGAGCATCACAGGATTATGGGAGATTGTATCTGTACCTGTGATTAAATTTGGATTAGCTTCTGGAGCAGATCATACTGGAACACCTTCCTGCTCGAATTTCTATAGTTACAACCCAGGATGCTTATCTGAATAACCTGAATTTCAAGGCACTTATGGTCTGCTTATCACAAGTCAGACTGTGATGAAAGAAACTGCATCCCCACAAGACAGAGGGAGAGCAATTCCTGGAGACAAGAAGGAAAATGAGAGCTGTGTGCTGTCCCCAGGCTGTCTTGCCAAGGAGATGACACTGCTGGGTGAACAAAGCAGAGGTGCTGTGTGGATGTTCTCCTTCTCACCTTCAGAACATTTCAGAGATGCTTTACAGGGGGGTTCCCCACTTCTGTACCTTCCTGTGTCCTTGTTTAATCACCTTTCATCAGCAATTACCTAATACTCAGTCATACAAACCATCTGGGTGTTCCCAAGATGTAAAATATTTTAACCACATCTTCTTTAGCTCTTCATGCCCCTGAGGGCTGTGCACTTGGTCTGACCCTTCCTCCATCCCAACACCTCTAGTTCCAAACACAATAAAAGAGGATGTGATGTACAAATGCCCAATCCACTGCCAGCACCGTGCCCTTTCCAAAGGCAGATCCTACAGGTGGAGTTCCAGGTTGTGAAATCCTCCACACCTCTGACTGAGGGCCCTGCTAATTACCAAGGAGGCTGATCCCTAATTGATTTGATTGACCACATTGATAAAAGTCCATTTGCCCTGCCCAGCCTGTTTCAGTGCAGAGCTGTGTGGCTGCTTGTTTGGAATTCAGGATCGTCACATTAGCAGCTTTTTTCATATCATTATTAAAATGCTCAGGAACAGCTATGATCAATCAGTTCCTCAAAAATACAGAGAGCAGTAATAAATATGGATAATTAGTCAACCTGCATTCATGGTTTTTTAAAAGGAAGAAAAAAAGCAAGATCCTGCCAGATCAGTTCTCTACCAACAGAAAGCTTTG